TAATATAAACTATTCAGTAAATAATATAGTGAACTCAATTTCCTAGTAAGAAAATATAAATAAAGCAGTATTGAAAGTCCTACAAACGTACTTAAATCCTCTTATTGGAAACCTTAAAATGGTTATTACTAGGTAAATGTCCTGCAACTGTAAAATGATATATTTAATATTCGTTTCCACCAGCACAGATTAGAAAAATTACAAACAATCTTATTATTCTTGAAGATAATAGAAATGTATAAAATACGTGCATATTTAATTTACTGTCAAGTAAAAGTTGTATAGCTGATAATTTTTAAGGAAATAAATACTGAAATATTGATTTTTTTTAAGTTTGAGACGGATACTTTTAATTATAATGTGTATTAGATTACTAACCATAGATTGTTAGTATTGTTACTTATCAAAATAGTAGCCAATTTTTTAACAATTTATTATTCTTAGGAACGTTTTTTTTTTCAACACTCAAGCAAGTTTAAATATCAATTAAATCTACGTCCATCACTTTTGTGCATTTTTTTTGTGAGATAGATGTAGATATAACTGGCAAAAAAATTTATTTTGGGAATGAAAAAAAATGGGCCTAATTATTTCGTTGAGTAGAGTACAGACCAAGTGTTCTAGAGGCAAATTCGGTTAGATCCGATTTCCTTCAAACTGATTATAGATTAGTAATCATATTGTCACAAGTATAGTGCATCTGTTAGGTACTTTTCAAAATTAATATTTTCCAATTATAAATGTCAAACATTGTCATATATTTGAGCTTCTCTGCAGCCAAGAGATTATTAATGTTAGATATAATCAATTTATTTTGTTGATTACAGTAGGTACCTAGTTCCACTTAGTCCTTAAAGAAGACCAACATTTAGTCATAGCCGACGTGGCATTTGGTGGAGGCGCCGAGTGATAAATAAATGGGACTAGTTTAAATAATGTTTGGAAATTGTTTTGCATTTGTAATCGTCAAATATTAATTTGAAAAAATTGCGCATTATTCTTTTCCTGAGAGGAATCCTATAACTGAAAACATATCCAGATAAAAATCTGGAAATATCTAACTTGCAAGACTATTTCGACAACCTTAAATTAATTTCTGATATTTTTTTAAGGGTAAGAAGATACAATATTTTGCTTCCTAGGGTAAAATTTTTTTATAAGGATGTTTTTAAATAGATTGTCAGTACTTCCACATCATGAAAATTTTTCCTTCAAAATTTTCTTGGACGTAAAAATTTTTTCTAGAAATAATCGAAACAAATTCTACTACACTTTTTGCACCTTCTGTATTCATTTCTAATATTTGCTTTTCCAAAGCTTGGAGGCAAAGAGATTCTTTCTTAATATTTTTTTCATAGAGCAAATTACTTATTGTAAGAAAACTCCGAAGCTGGAATCTTACCCCTTGCATCCTATTTACCTCTAAATATTGATTAAAATTGACAAATTAGCACCTACAGCCGGTTTTCCAATGTAATAAAATAAATTGCATCTTCGAAAATTCAATTTCTCGTACACGCCATCTAGTTATGGATAGCACAACAAACTGGCAAAATGAATAGACGCCTTTACAGAAGTGTCACAAATTGAGAGGCGATAATATGGATGCCGCCTCATACTATTGGCAAACCTGTTACAAACACATAATTTATAAAATTATACGTATACAAGGTTGATATTCAGTAGTGATGGGAATAATCGAATGAATTAAATAATCGAGAGGTAACCGTTCGAATTAATTTTATAATCGAATGATCATTCGAATGATATATAATCGAAAATTTCCGACCTATTCCAAATTATATGCGAAACATGACGCTAGGTAAATGAATGACTTTCGCGTATTGCGGCATTTCTTCGTTCTCAGTTGAGTGGTTCATCAGCTTGTGTTTAAAATGAGTAGTCGCTGCCTAAAGAGATCCATTGTTTGGGTTTTTGAAAAAAAAATTAGATAGAAAACATAATTTTTGTATTATTTTCATTCATATGAATTTCTATCCTNCAAATACAATCTACTTATTGTAAGAAAACTCCGAAGCTGGAATCTTACCCCTTGCATCCTATTTACCTCTAAATACTGATTAAAATTGACAAATTAGCACCTACAGCCGGTTTTCCAATGTAATAAAATAAATTGCATCTTCGAAAATTCAATTTCTCGTACACGCCATCTAGTTATGGATAGCACAACAAACTGGCAAAATGAATAGACGCCTTTACAGAAGTGTCACAAATTGAGAGCCGATAATATGGATGCCGCCTCATACTATTGGCAAACCTGTTACAAACACATAATTTATAAAATTATACGTATACAAGGTTGATATTCAGTAGTGATGGGAATAATCGAATGAATTAAATAATCGAGAGGTAACCGTTCGAATTAATTTTATAATCGAATGATCATTCGAATGATATATAATCGAAAATTTCCGACCTATTCCAAATTATATGCGAAACATGACGCTAGGTAAATGAATGACTTTCGCGTATTGCGGTATTTCTTCGTTGTCAGTTGAGTGGTTCATCAGCTTGTGTTTAAAATGAGTAGTCGCTGCCTAAAGAGATCTATTGTTTGGGTTTTTGAAAAAAAAAATATATAGAAAACATAATTTTTGTATTATTTTCATTCATATGAATTTCTATCCTCTCTAAATAAAGCTCCCTTCTAAACGCCCTTCAAAACCGCGCGATGCCACTCATAAAATTACTGCATATCTTTTTTATGCGGTGATATTCGATTGTGTCGTCTCATCTCATCCATCTCATCCATCCTCTCGGCCGTCTTTCTGTCTTTCTCGAGGTTTGGTAGCTCGTTAGAGCGTTGGAATAATCGAAACACCTGCGCTCTCGCTCGAGCAGCGCGTTTTCGTTATTCGGTGATGACGAGTGACGATTGACGTTAGTAATGCTGTGGCCACTGTCATTCGTCTCCGAATAATCGAATGAATTTATATGATCACTCGAGATATCTCGAGAGGTTGTCATAATCGATATAATCGATAATTTTCATTCGAGTAGTCCCATCACTAATATTCAGTAGGGAAAGGATCTTCAAAAATAAAGGCTACTGTATCAATTAGTATCTTTAATGTCGGATTAAGAGAGTTGCAGTAAAAACAATTCAATAAAAAAATAATTTAACGACATTCTAACTAAAAAAATGTCTTTTTGGTTTAAAAATTTATCCAAACAGCAGTACGCATTTGGTTATTTAGGATACTGTTTGGAATGTCAAGATTATTTATCTTCTTCATGATTAATTTAATTTATATGCCCAATCCCCAACCCAAAAATGTCGTCTAAGCCTATAAAAATTGTAAACTAGTAAAAAATGTTTAAATTTATCATTTTTGAGAGGGGTTAAACACCGTTATATAGAAATTCTAACCTACCTTTGTCTTTAGAATGCCTGCGGCATTTTCGCACCTAGATTTCTCTTCTCGATAACTCGAATTCTTTATTATTATTATTAACACCGGCCAATTCTTACTCAACTCATCATTTATTGGGTTCCTCGACATGCACACACATACATTAATATCAACCTTTTTCTTTCTGGCTGGATGTTTTAAATTGAAGCTGCACCATTGAACAACTTTGGAAGATTTATGTTCCTAGTACCAGTGTTTTATAAAATTGTTTGAAGTTTGGAGTAGATTTCTGTCGACAATGAACCATAAAAATCGCTTGGTAAAATTTCTTTACATTCAATAATTATAGTGAAAGAAAATTTCGATGTTTGGCTTCTGCGACAACGTTAAGTACATAAAACCCTCCAATATTTTGTCGAATGTGACAGTCATGGAGACTCCCTGGTGACAGCCTTAAATTTGTTGACATTTTAATGGAGGGTGCATTTGGCATATCAAAAATTTTCCTACCAACGCCTCTGGCATCAATTAATGAATGGAAATGTTGCCTCTTATTCGTAAATAACCTCACAAAAAAAATTCTGTACCAGAGACATGAGTGTGTAAATAGATCTTGCGTATTTTTTTACGCCGCCCAAAAACCAATTTACCATGGCATTTTCACTAAACTACAATATCCCCTAAAATAGGGTGAAATGTTGAGAATAAGCCAAAGGCAAAGATAATGAAAAGCAACAATTTCAACTCCTTTATGAATACATTTTCAAATAATATTTTGAGCATTGGAAAACAATAAGTATATGTAAATTAAATCCACACCCAATGGGGTTACTTCCACAACTAAGATCAAATAACGAATAGCCTTGTGGATGATAGACGACATACCAAAAAAATATATAACTTATCCCTCAAAGGGTTGGAAATCACCTACAGATAAGGATTCCACTTATCTCTTTAAGTTACACATTTTTCTATACAATATTTTTGCTTGAATTTTGTCACCGCGTGTTTCCGGGGTCGCTGATTACGAATCTGATGTCCGAAACCGAAAATTCATGAATAAAAGGTGGCAGATCTAATATGACGGATATAAAAATCGGAAAAGTATTCAAAATTTGAAGATTATGGCTGAAACTTGTTATTCGGTGGTTTTCAAAGTCACCAATCACGAATACAAGACTTTAATTAGAAAATTCTTAAAACCAAAATGGCGGACCCATTAATGGCGAATTGAAGAGTACCACAGAAATTGGCATTTACCACCCAAAGAAATGTGTTATGAATGTTTAAAAATTGAGTCATTTGAGTGAAAATAGACAAATGTTTAAAAATGAGAGGCAAAGAATATAAATCTCGATTTGTAGTCTGTATTGTCTCTTTCAAATATTCTTACCAGTCCTAGCAGGGAGTGATAATATCATACGTTTAAATGAGAAATATAATATGCACAAAATGAATAAGATTTTAGCGCTAAAAATATAAATTTGATCATTCAAGTTGCAAATTGTTTTAAATAAATTCTAACTGACATTTGCAGGGAGATGACTACGCCCATTTAGTTCTCATGTTTCCGGTACAGAATTTTTTTTTGTGAGTTTGTTATATTGTAGATAAAGAAAAGTGAACAGCAATTAAATAATTTATTAAATTTAATACAGTACAGTACGAGTATGTAACAAATAAATATTCCACAAAACCTTTGGTCCCTATATGTTCTAAGTCTTGCAAAGACTACAACTAGTAAGAATATTACTTAGCTCATATGCACAAGAAGAATAACAACCACTATTAATCGAGTTTGTACTTGATTAATGCGGCTTAACAAAACTGAATTAATATCTGGGATATGTAATTAGGGTATAAATAATTTATATGATTCTAAAAATTAGTTTTATATAATTGAGCTTTAAATACAGTAAATGACTACAACAGATACTATTTACAGAGTAGTAAAAAAACTACTGATAGGTATATTTTACAAGATACAAAATACAATATAACTTTCAGGCTTTCACAGCTTTTAATCCCTTTTTGCCCCCAAAGTTCCGAATTGCAGACAGCAATTGATCTCTTGAATCCACTTCTGCACCGATTGGTTTCGATAATGATTTTTTTACATTTGCTTTAGGCATTGATGGAGGGGGAGGTGGTTTAATAATATCAGATTTTGTTACACTCGGTAAGGAGTTATAAGTGCTATTTTTTTCATTATGTATCTCTACATAGTTATTGGGATTATATTCAATATTATGTCCATTTCGGTCCACTAACTTACTAGACTCAGTCCTTCTTAGATTGGACTGGGAAAAAGGTACGTCCTTGTTAGTAGTATAGCCCTCTTTCTCTTTCGATTTTGCAGGAAGGGTGTTATAACTAGCTGGAGAATTCCAAGATAACCTGCTGGTAAGATTTGCACTGTCATTTGAGGTTTTAAATCCTCTTACAGTGGGGGCAATAGACGGTTTATAACTATTTACTCTGAAAATGGGTTTGGGATCCTTGCCTACACTTAAATTGTTCTCATGGTTAGAATACGAATTATTGCACAAGTTCTCCGAACTTCTATACTTAGTTGAAAACTTATTTTTTAAATCTGATACTGGCTCTGTTCTATTCAAAGTGTGTGACTTGTAACTGTCAGCTCCCTGATATATTTGTGTCACGGAAGTGTTATTGTTATTGCTGCCCTTATATGGTTTCTTTAATTCTACCGACCTTACTACAGGGACTCTTGAAATATCAAAATCTGACTCGTATGATACGGAATGAGGACGTGTGGTTGGTTGATTTTTGTTTATATTTGAAAAGGGTTTCCTGTAACCCATCGCGGTGGTGTGATTAATGAACCTTTGGTTTTCTACTGATTTTGAATTTTGTGAACTTAAAATACCTATTTTTATCACAACATTTCCCGAAGTTTGCATACTACTAACAGGTTCAGTACCATTTACCTTAATACTAACATTATTTACTCCTCTATCATCGTAACTGCTAACATTAACATTAGATCCTTTATTATATGAAGTGGAGTTAATAGAAGTTGATGATATATTATTTTTTACTTCTATACTGTTATTACTAGTAACGTTATTATTAGTAGTATTTACTATAAGTTTTGAAGACACGTTATTGCCTAACTTATAGTCCGCATCCTCTTTCACACTGACGGGAATTTTTGGTCGTTCTGACCACGTTCCCATGTTGATGGATGGGGGACCTCGGTATTTATATATTTTCTCCGGAACATCAGGCTTTTGCGGCTTTTCCACTGCAGTAGGCTGAACAGCAACTTTAGTTTTAAGTTCAGACTTTACCGAGTTGCCTGAATATTTTTCCTTGTGATTAAGATTTTCCACAGATGAGGTAGGGGTGCTGAGCTTGTTTTGTATAAGCTTCATAACCTGTAGAAAATAGTTTTAAATGAGAATCTGCAATGTGGAAAAATGTTTAAAAATACAACAAATTGTTCGAAACCAAACATTTGTAATTTTTATTTTACAATAAATAAAGGTTTTAGTATTTTGTGGTAAACGTGTTTTAAGACTGGCATCAAGATAAGAGGTTCAATTGTTTCTAAAAAGATATTTATGAATTGCTCTCGTATTTACTTCAATTTAAAGGTATGAAGCTAATTCAATAAAATTCTAATTTTTTTCTAAGAATTCTATCAAATGAAGTCAAGCACTATACCGAAAATTTAGCTATGCAAAAGGTATTATAAATTATAAAGCCCCACAAAAAGAAAAAGTTCTGTACCAGAGACATGGGTAGATCTGGTGTATTTTTTGATGCTGAATCCGAATCTACAGCCCAAAAACCGATTTACCAGGGCATTTTTTAGTAAAACGCTAGAATATTCCCTAAAATCGGGTGAAATAGTGAGGATAAGGAAAGCTTTATAATGAAAAGCAACAATTTGGAAATACTTTGAGAAAACATTTTAAAATAATATTTTGAGCATTAGAAAGAAATATATGCAAATTAAATACACACTCACCCGTACGAGGGGGTCAATTCCACTTCAAAAATTAAATAACGAATGTTAGTGCAAAACATTATGAAGACACATAGCCTTCTAAGTTATATCACCAAATATACATATAAATGTAAGTTGATAGACAACATACCAAAAAAATACAATATCATTTATGATGTCCAACCCTCAAAGGGTTGGAAACCACCTACAGACCAGAGTTCCACTTACCCCGTCAAGTTACACATTTTTCTATTCAATATTTTTGCCTGAATGTTGTTTCCGCGAGTTTTTGGGATCAATGATTACGAATCTGATAGTCCTAATCCGAAAATTCCTAAATAAAAGATGGCTGATCCAATATGGCGGATGTAAAAATTGAAAAACCATTCAAAATTTGAAAACTATTACCTACTGAAACTTGTTATTCGCTGGTTTTCAAAGCCATCAGGTTTAATTCTTAACTCTATTATGGTGGATTGAAAAGTACCATAGAAATTGGTATTTACCACCCAAAGAAATGCGTTAAGAATGAAAGAGACAGCACAGTGCAAACCAAATTTATATTTTTTATTTGTCATTTTTAAACAGTTGCCCGTTTTTACTTGAATCACTCAATTTTTTAAACATTCATAACGGATTTCTTTGGGTGGTAAATACCAATTTATATGGTACTTTTCAATCCGCCAGAATATGTCCGCCATTTTGGATTTTCAGCCATAATCTTCAAATTTTGAATGGATGGATATTGGATGCGCCATCTTTTATTTAGGAATCTTAAGGCGGGTATCCATTTGTGTCAAATGCCCCGTAACGTATCACCGAACATGTTACGTTACAGCTAGTGGAGATGGAAAACTGTTGCATGGTACGTGTAACAAATTTGACACGCGGAACTAATCCGGGGCGAACCATCAGTTGTCGGATTTTAGTCGTCGCATCAAAGGGATGCAATAGTACTTTCTGCCACATGTTGGGATGGGGTTACCCGTAATGTTGCCTGTTGCACATCTGATTTTACCTTATTTGTTGTTTCGTCAGTCTTTTGTATATGGTTTGGGGTCAGTCTGTTTTCTGCAGTGACTAGGAATAGTGTGTTTTTCTGTGTTTGTGCCATGAAGTGGAGTAAAGAAAAGATTTGACGCTGCTGCTAACTGCAATTGCAGTGATGAATCCATTATTACAATCAGGTTCATACTGCGAGTTTATGTTTCTGTGTCGTCTCGTAACCTTATTTTGTTACGTTACGGAATGAATGATACGACCAAAACCACACATACTTTCGCAGCGAACCGTGTCACCCTTTGCAACAGGCCGTAACATGTTCATTGTTACGTTATGGAGCATTGCCACAAGTGGATTCCCGCCTTTAGGATTCGGATTTCAAATTCGTAATCAGCAGCCCCAAAAACTCGCAGTAACAAAATTCAAGCAAAAATATTTAATAGAAAAATGTGTAATTGTAAGGGGTAAGTGGGACGTCGTATGTAGGTGGTTTCTAAGCTTCATAGGGATAAGTTATATTATATTTTTTTGATATGTTGTCTATAAACCTACATTTATATAATTGGTAGTATAAAATACAAAACTAAGGTTTTTCACATTGTTTTGCACTAACATTCGTTATTTGATCATAGGCGTAGATTTAACCCCCTCGTAGGGGTGGGTGTGTATTTCTTTCCAATGCTCAAAATATTATTTTAAATTGTTTTTTCAAATTATGTCTTTACAAATTGTTGCTTTTCATTATGAAGCTTTACCTTATCTTCATATTTTCACCCTATTTTAGGGGATATTTTAGCGTTTTACTAAAAAATGACCTGGTAAATCGGTTTTTGGGCTACGGATTCGGATTCAGCATAAAAAAATACACAAGATCTATGTACTGATGTCTCTGGTACAGATTTTTTGTGAGACTGTGTTATTAACATAAAACACATAGGTACCTTATGCAAAGAAGGATTTTTGGTATCGACGAACTTTTATTTCTTTTGGCAGGATTAAAAAAAAAGAATAATTCAATTTATTAACCATTAAAACCAGTACAAATATTTTAAATAGAATGCGTATATATGACTTTCATACCTAGAAAATAAAGTTAAATATTGATATTGGTTGCAGGAGAATGTTTTAAATATTTTCTGGATAAGAAATTGTGCTCCAAAAATGATCATGAGCCATAAGTACCCAAAAATTAACAGAAATGTGTCTGAAGTTAGAACAGAAATGATGGAAAATAGGTATCTGTACCAACTGAAAATACTCACAGTATTTCTGATGAGTATTAATAAGGACAAATTATTAAAACCAGAAATTGACCAAATGATATGTATATGAAACCGATGCATAGTTTTGATTTCCTAAATTATTTAAAGGATTATTATAGTTGAGATGTTGATTGGAAGGTAATTTCACGGGGAAAACAGGATTGTGCCTTAGTCAATCTATATGTCCTCAGTATTTTATAATACTTTTAGAACTTGGATTTCATTTAATGATTAGAAGGTAAGGAAGGATTGAATGATTAGAAGGTAACTTTGCCTTCTAATTGTACAACAGAAATATCACAATCCAAAGACTTGATATTAAGGAAGGTATTTACTGGTAGATAATCTTATAAAGACCATTCAAAATCATAGGGATTTCCAAATTCCAGAAGCTGAAGATTTACTTACATCATATGAATTTAGAAAAAAATACCTATGGATCTACTTAAATGTCCAAAATATTGTTGTAAACATTGAAATGCGTGTACGTTGGAAATGCTAGAGATTGGTATATTCTCTCTATGTCCAATATAATAAAAATTAGTAAGATATTAGTTATATTTAGTTGTTATAAGCAGGGGATAGTTAATTTTATTAGGCGTATGGATATATTACCTAGAAATCACAATTTGATACCTGATTTATTTTTATATATTTAGTGAGCTCCATATAAATTATTATTATTAATACTTCATATGTTAAAATTACTACGTATTTAATTAAATTACAATATATTATATTTATTAAAAGTTGACATCATCGTTACTGTTGTAGTAATGTTTGTGTTAAATGTATTGCGATAAAACCTACCTCTAAGCTTTGTAGACCAGACACATCATATAAACTGTTGCTTCTCGATAAATCTTCTATACTAGATTCAATTTTTTCTTCTTTGTATTTGTTTGAGTTTAAAGTCAGCTGTGACTTAGACCTAGAGACTGGTTTAGCGGGCACCCATGTATTATCAATCGAGAAAGATTCTGATCTAAATATACTAGACATTGGTCCAAAACTTCTTGGCATCGCAGATACCTGTGGCTTGTAGAATTTGTACTCTCTCTCTTCATGTGAATGATTTGACTGGTCATCTAAACTGCTCTTCCTAACAGGAAGAACTTCTATAGAGTGACCACCATCGGATTTGCGATGTGAAGACGAAAAACTAGTTGTTTCTGCTGTGTTGGTATTAAAATAGTCTGTATTGCTTCGTATCGTGTCATCTTCAAAGACTTTAATTTTTTGTTTTGGTTGGTCATAAGTAGAAATTTTAAAATTTGGTAAAGTGTGTGTGGAGGTATTGACTTTTCTGTAAGTTAATTCCCCTGTTTCCCGGGGCAGACTAGATTTACTTATTTCATTGTAAGTTGACTCAAACTGCTTTAAAGAACTAGAAAATGTGTCAGTTTTAACACTTTTGGATTCTATAATATCAGTCATTTTTAGACTAGTTGCTAATTCTCTGTTATATACTAAAGACTTTCGTTTTTCCAAATTCTCCAAAGAAAGCGTATTAAGTAAAGGCTTCTCCTCTTCACTAACAACACTAGTTAAGTCACTAGTGACTGTTCCCTTTTCGGATTGACTGTCCTCAACGGCCTTTAATTTCTCAAAGAGTTCTGGAGATGTGACTACAGAGTCTTTGAAATCGGTAACAGACTGACCTGTGAAACTTTCATCTTCGTTAAAATGTGCTGGACTAGAATCCCTAAATGCTTTAGGAGGCGAAGGAAGTTGATAGTGCCAGTCTATTTCACTTATTTCCGGATCTGTTTTCAAATCTCTTCCAACACTTGGTGCCTTCAATTGTTCAGTAGACTCTTTGATAAGTTCATCTACTGGTTTATTGACAGAGCTAATTTGTAACTCTTTAATCGGTTCTACTTTCGGTTCTTGAATGTCCTTCACTGGTTGTCTCTTAGGAACAATCTCAGATTTAAGGTCGTCGTTTTTAATTTCTTCAATTTTTCCCTGTGTTGTTTCGGATATAACTGATGGAGGAAGGATGGGTTCTGATAATTTTGTTTCTTTTTCAAGGACAGGAGGTGGTGGAGGAGTAAGAGGCCTATCTACATCAAGATCCGAAGATTTGTCGATTTGATTCTCTGGTGCTATACCACTGTCTGTGGAACCAAATGATTTATCTTCCAATTTAATTTGATCAGTGGATAAACTGTTACTTTGATAGGACGACACTGATATTAAAGTATCTCTAGCTGGTGATATATTTGAAGACAATATTGATTCTGAAAAATAAAATAGCTTTACTTTAATGTATGGTGAATAAAATGAACAAACAAACAAAACAAATTACAAAAAGAACAATTAAGAGGCTGTTGAAGCAATATTACACAAATACATGAAGTGGTAGAAGATTTAGCTGAAAATGAAAAATTAATGCAAAACTAAAGAATCTACCAAGTGCTGCAGTGCCTAATATCTTACAGAAGAAAACAAAAACGAATGCAACCATAGTTACAAAGTCAAACCCACTACAGTTAATGCAAAAAGTCACTACCTATACACAAACAAAAACATTCCAAGAAAACTCAACTATAAAAGGAAACATGCCTGTGTCAGAAGCATCACTAAAGATCCATTTGTTTTTAACTTCCACTGAAGTTAAAGAAATATCGTCCAAGTCTTCAACATTGTTCCATTTTTTTAATCCTCTACTGTCATTCATAAAGCCCGGTAAACTTCTTAAACTCCTTAAACTACTTATAGACTGATTTTTATGCATTTCAATCTCGTCAAAGTTGTGCATTCCGAATAGCTGATTAAAAATTTCATTGCTAACTTTTGAGTTCTTGGAAAGAGAACCAGAAAATGTATTTTCATCTAAATCTGAGAATTCATCCACAAAATTAAAAGCTTCCAGCGCTGAATTAACTGAATTATTTCTAGTGAAACTTCCAGTCTTACTATCATTGGACACTTTGCTATGAATACTAGCTGTGTCATCGAAGTTCTCTAACAGAGAAGTACCAATTTGAAAACGTCTTTTACCAAAAGTGTCAAATTTAGTGGGTGATCCTTTTTTTTCTTTGGACACTTTGGGAATCATAGCGATTACTTCTGGAGGTTTTCTTTCATTCAAAAACTCTGGAGAGGAAAATATATCTTCGTGAGTAAGTTTCTGAAGCTGGGAAATGTCAGGCATTGACTTTGTAAGATTTTTTGATAATTTTGGAGTATCCTGTTCCAGCTTGTTTAATTCATTTAGCTTTTCAAGGTTTCTTTCGATCTTTGTTTTCTGTCTAGTTTTCACTTCAGGTTTTTGATTAACTGTTGAATCAGAATCAATTTTCAAAACATCTTTTGCTATGTCCTTTTTCGTTTCTTTAGTTTTGGGCACAGCAACTTTACTATTCTCCACTATGTTCTTATTATCTTTGACTTGATTTTCGTTTTTATCGATCCCTCCTAATTCTTCTTTGATGATTTCATTTACAATACATTCATTATCCACTTTAGTTTCAATGATAATTTTATTGATTCTAGGTTTTTTCTCTTCAGCAATAAACTTTTCGGTATCAATTTCAATTTGAGGCTCAGAGTGCATACTATCTTTAGCAATAGTAATTTTATCTGACATTTCTTCCTCTTTGATTTGCTTCTGTTTCTGACTCTTCCGAAGATTTTCATCTTCTACTTTGCTTTGTGGATTAGTTGAAGTTCTCAGGAATTTATTAGAAGAAACTATTTCACTTCTAGGTCGGGGTTTTGGAGGTGCCTTTGCCTTATTTCTAGGTAAGGGTACAGGGTTATTAGAGGGTGTAGCTACGTTTTCCTGTGTTGTATAATGTGTATCTAGCATGCAAAATACAAAGCTATATTAGTAAAGAAAGGTTAGGTATACCATTCACCATAGAAGGTACTACGTTTTCTGCCACCAGATAATTAAGAGGTGCAAACAGTATAAAGATACCGATGCTTTACAATAAATATATACATGGTGCTAAATAATTAAATAATATTCATAAAAAGATCTGTATATGTTAATGTGATTTAAAATGTTATATCCATAATTTTTAAATATTCTGATTTTGACAGTTTGCAGAGATAATAACTCTACAAAAATTCTGAGCTTTTGCTAACAATAATTTTATCTAATTTAGATAAAAATTGTTTCCAGTTTTCATCATCCCTATTTCGCGAAATTTTACTATTTAGCGCAACTGACGATGATTCCACTGAAATAATTTGTTCTGATTTTGACGCAAGTTCCTTTTGTTTAATGGTTAAAATATCATCCAAATTATTATTTTCTCTTTCGTATATTGTGTCACTAATTGTCTTATTTACTGCACCACTTTCATCATAAATGTTTTCACAAATTTTTAAATCTTCATTTGAATAGAAGTTGTTGATCCCAACATTCCCAATATTATTTCTATTATTGTCATCGCCATTTTCAGGTAAATTTTCAAAATTTAAAGAATTTGTATTAGTATTTGAAGTTTTATCAACCATTCTGATTTTATAGGACGAGTTGAGATGTTTTTCATTAAAATTACTATTGGTATTATTACAAGCAGTTGTAGATGAAGCTTTAACTTCTGACATGTTAAAACAATTAATTGGGATATTTGAATTATTTACAGTATCATTTACTCCTGGGACTGAATTAAATTCAGAATCAATAGTATATGGATCATTTTTTACATCATAATAGTTGTTGTCACTGACAGTTCCACTATTCTCAGCTAATGCGGCGGTAGTTACATCTGTTTGACAAAACCGTTTATTATTTAAATGAATGTTACTATTTGGAAAAACACTACTTTTTTTCATGCTGTCATTTTCATTACAACCATCATATCTACTTAGAATAGTAGAAGCAGACTCATTTATATAACTAATGCTATAATTGTTACCAGAAATAGTTAGAATGTTAATAACATCACAGTCACTGTCTTCAGTGGAACCACCGTTTTCTATATCTGAGTTTAAATTACTTTCAATGCTACGTCCTTGAACTGCTTTAACGTTGTCTTCATTATTATAGATTTGACCAAGAGTAACAGTAGATTTTGATTTACACAAGTTAGGTCTACTAATGCCGTTATTGAAAAATTTACTGAAAAACTTAATTCTTTTATTTAATTTCGAGTTGAGTAAATGTTCGTTTACACCTCCGTGTTTGCGTGCACTTAAATTTGTCGAAGATTTTGAAAAAGATATTTTTGTTGGCAGAGTGTTATTTTTCCCATAATTTTTATCCTTACCTTTCTGTATGATAGTGGGCTGACTAGCAACTACAGGACTAGGTTTTTCTACGTTTATTATCGAAGAGCTATTTGAGGAGCATATTACAGGTGGGGGAGGAGGAGCTGCTTTCTTTTTGCGACCTGAAAATAATAAAAAAAAATATAGTATATTCATCAAGTGTTTGCTATTATTGTACACTGTATTGCGTCTTGTCTTAAATTTTTACTATACGAGTAAATAGTAACACTTGCAAAGTGAAATATAATCTCTCTAAACTGGCAAAACTTCAGTTAATATTTAATTGTGAATAGTAGTTGTGCTTTGAGCTAAAACTACAATCTCCAAATTTTTTTAAATAATTCTTTCTTTATTCCGATCCGAACTGAAATTTTCCAATTTGGCCAATTATTATGATTCCAACAATTATTGTTTTTCTTGTGAATGTTTTTGTTTTTGTCGAAATACCAAATTTTCCACTTTTAAACAGGGTGCTTGCAAACAAAACATCTAAATATTAGTACAAATGAAATTTTGAAAATTTTTTAAAATTATCATCGACAATGTCAAAATTTGGAGAACTAAACATGCAATTGTCATATGAAAAAGGGCTTGAAACTTGTTGATTACATAATCTAATGAATAACTGTTTTTTTCTTCATAAAAATTTAACTGGGCTGTCAAAATTTCGTTTCAAGTCATAGTAGAATGGTTTACTTTAAAAGCACTCTTTTTGAAAATAAATAATTTGGTATTTCGACGAAAATGAAAAAGTAAACCACATCATACGACATATTGTCGTAATTAGAAAAATGTTGTGAAAATTATTTCAAAATGTTATTTGGCGCGTTATTTGTTAACAGATATCGCATAAAAAACAGCAGTATCACAGTTAGATAGTTTTTTTTACCCTACATTCTATAAAAGAAAATTTAATCAGTCAAAAATAAAGAAGTTACAGGTTTGTATTACTTTCGCGACATCATGGAGTGCTCTCCTGAAAATGTATCGAATTTGATCAATACGTTTTAAGGTATGCTGAATGAAAATACGTAATCTGTTTTCTGAAAAAAAAAATGGCTAATACCAATCAACTGTTTCGATGTCAAGAAAACACGTCCTAGTTGGCCGTGAATTGCATTAATAAAAACAGCTGTATCACAATTAGATAGAGTTTTTTTTACCCCACATTACAAAATAAAAATTTTTGAAATCGGCCAAAAAAAAAGTTACAGACTTGTAGGTATCATATTTAAGCGCGACACCCTCTATACAGGGTGTTTCTAAAATAGGGTTCCAAACTTCTGCTGCGTTTATAACCCATTAAAATAAGCCAAAAAGTTCCTATTAATATGTGCCCTAAAACGCACCCCTACGAAGTTATATGTCCTTAAAAGGGCTCAAACAAAACTGTTTTTTTCTGTTATTGACAAAACGGTCGCAAATAAATAGAAAAAAATTTATGGGTCTAACATAACTTTTTACTAATGATATTGGTAGCCTTATTTTTATTCAGTTTGTTGTCAATAGTGGGAAGATTAGAGGCCAAATTTCAAAGAAAAACAGCAAATTTTCTCAATTGTCGACGTTTCGTCACTTATCGTGACATCCTCAGGACACTATAAAATTTAATAATTTCAAAATTACATCACAATTTATAAATAACAAACTTAACATTAAAATATTAAAAAATTAAAAAAGTGTGTCTAAAACATTACAATAAAATGAATACAGTAATATCTATATAAACATGAAAAAAAATTACAAATACAGACACACTAACAATTTTGATATGTCACAAATTTAAAAAGAAAAGTATTAAAATTACACAAACAAAATGTTTTTATATAATAAATAATAAAATAACAAAATATGGTGAATGAACAAGAAACGCAACAAACAACAACCTGTACATAACATGCGAAAAAGAAAATTTTAAATTAAAATTAAATCTACGTATATTGTTTATATGTTACTCACATTACAGATTTAAGTGTTTCACTGTGTTTTCCTAGTCTCGTTATACATAGTATGTCATATAACAATCT